CATTAGATACTTCGTAATACTAAGGTAAAAATTAGTATTATTTTNTTTTTTCGTATTCTTATAGTTTAGTATAGATAAATTACGAACTTTAGTTTTCCGTATCTCAATTTTTTCTTTTTAATTTTGTTTCATAATAAAGAGTTCAAGAAAAGGGCAATAATACACTTAGAAAATCTCAAGAGAAAGCTATTACCGTCATAAAAAAACTATTGTAATTTTAAAATATTCATAAAACACTAAAATATAGCAAAATGTACTTAAAATCATAAATGGTTAAATTGAGATAGAAACAAAATTGATATAATCTAACATAATAATCAAGAAGGAAAAAGAATCATTTTTTCCATTAACATTTAAGATCCATGGGCTTTATCTTATACCATAAAAATAACTTCTAAATTAAAAATTCAAATATTATTTCATAATAGAGACATAATAGAACTAAAAAATAGCAAGATAAAGCTAGAAGGGACAATAACATAAATAAATAACTTATAGACAATCAAAAAATAATAATAACAAAAAAATAACAATATTATTAATAATATCAATAATAAGTAATAATAAGTATTATTTTATTACTCTGTTCAAATTTATAATAAAAAAAAATTGAACTATTCAAGAATCTAAATCCTTAGTTTTTTTAATCTAATTGAGTTTCACAACCAGTGTGAGAGAGATCAAACAACTTATTTTCTACCTGTAAAAAAATCATATTGCAATTTGAAAAATAGACCACTATTTTATTACTATGTTCACGCTTATAATAAAAAAATTTAAAACTATTCAGGAATCTAAATCGTTAATTTTTGTTATTCTAATTGAGTTTCACAACTTGTGAAAGAGAGAATAAACCACATATTTTCTATATGTACAAAATTCATATTACAATTTGAAAAATATCCTATATAGAAATAGAGACAAACATCGTATCTTCTACTTTTCTCTTAAGAAAATATTTTCGAGCTAACAACTCATGGTGAGAGATCAATAAAAAAATGAACTTGAGAGAGAGATAAGGTGGGACGTGATAGGCTTTTGGGCTGGTCCTGAGGGTTTATGGTGAGAGAGGATGGATGAGGTTTTTCCTAAAAAGATATTTTATGAAGGTGAGATTGAGAGACGGATATAAAGGAGAAAGAGAGTGAAATAGGACAAATACTATATAAGAGAGGTTTAAGATGGGAGTTATCACATAGATGAATTAATTGTAATGAATTGCAAGTAGTGCAAGTTAGAGAAAATAAAAAATAGTAGCACGTAAAAAATGAGCTAACGCAGTAGGATGGGGAAATAATGAGTTTCTTTATTATAAGGAGCTACGATAGAGAGATATAAATAAGAGAACGATAAAGAGAGAATTTAGAAAGATATAAGAGATTTTTTAAGGAAAGTTGTAAGAGGGAAAGAGAGAAAAAAGAAAAAATAGTCCGGGGTTGGCGGTGGGGGGAGGGATGATTTATTAGAAAGAAGGAAAGATGAAACACAAGAAAAAATAGTCCGGGGTGGGGGGGGGGTGGTTTATTAGAAAGAAGGAAAGATGAGACAATGGGCACACACGTCACAAAAATTGGGGGGGGGATATAAAGGGGAGAGAGAGGGAGGGAGAGGGAGAAAATCATTAGGAGGGTGGCGGTGGGGTTGGAGGCGGTGATTTATTAGGAAAGAGGAAATATGGGGCACAAAATAGAAAAATATATTTAAAGAAATGATTTCTTAGGAACGAAGAAATATGAAGCACAAAACATGGGAAGATATTTAAAGAAATGTGTAATAGAGAGAGAGAGAAGAGAGAAAATAGTGTGGTATGGGAGGATTTATTAAGGAATAAAAAAAAAAGGGACACCTGACACAAAAATAAGGGGAGATATAAGAGAAAAAGAGGGAGAAAATCTTAAGGGGTGGGGGTGGAGCTGGAGGCCGTGAATGTGACTCAAAACATGGAGAAAATATTTAAAAAAATGTGTAATAGGGAGAGGGTGAAGAGCGAAAATCATGTGGGTGGGGGGAGAGATTTATTAAAGAAGAGAAAAAATGGGACAAGTGACAAAAATAAAAGGGGAGCGAGAAGATAAAATCTTGTAGGTAAAGAGAGAGATTTATTAAGGAAGAGGAAAAATAGGACATGTGGGACAAAATAAAAGGGGTATTCCTTACGCTTAATAAATAAAATATATATACTCATCCATATCCAACCGCCTATTGTGAATGAACGCTGAGATGACCCAATCATAATTTTATGTCTCTACACTATTTTATTTTTCATTTTTTCTACAAAATATTTTGATAAACAAATTTTGGGTATACACTCCTCTCTTAAACTCCCACTTGTAAAAAATATAAAAAAAATATTTTTAATAAAATAAAATGAACAAAATACCCCTTAAAAATTCAAGAGATACTTTGGTTATTATATTTTATTGAAAAATTCTTTTTAACATTTTTTTAGGTGCGCACTATTGAGAAGATTACACATACCAAGTTTCATATTCATACAATTTGTAGAAAAAAATTAAAAATAAAAACTTTGAGGCGTCAGATCTAGCTCACTTGATCTAAATTAGACGGCTGCATGAAAGGGGCAGTATATAACTTCTATGATGTGAGGGAAGTATAGAAACCTCTCTCTAAACACTTAGGGGCCGTTTGGGTACCTAGAAATCTATTACGTGACAATAGATTACACGGAAATATGATATTTTCACTGTTTGAATATACTTAATAATAAAGAAATGGAGAGCAATTAGGCCAGATTTCTTAAAAATCAGTATCTTATAAAAACAAAAATAATAAAAATAAAAATCAGTAATCAATAATAAATTATACAACATAATTATAATAAAAAATTTCACACAACATAATCCTCATAAGAGATTACTAAAATCTCAATTGAAATAACATACCTCTTTAGTCCCCTCCAATACCACAACATTTTATATTGCAAGTACCAAACCTTCTAGTTTACTAATCAAACTTCTTTCTATTTTTTAACTCGTACCCTACAGATTTTGAATTTAGTATCATAAATTTATTGTTTATTTAAAATTATATAGAGAGACATTTGAAAGACTTCTATAAAAAATAAATAAAAATAAGGCTTATACTAATAAAATCATGTTATTCCAATCATATTGTTCTAATGATTTATCATGTTGAAACCAATGTCATGTTATAAAACATATGATTGCATATAAGTGCTAAAGGCACTTAAAATAAGTAGAAAATAGTGTCATGACTGTAAAATGGTATAAGTTATTATTAAAAAATCCTTTTGGAATAGTGATAATGTTATCATTAGATATCTTTTTGGAATGGTGTGATGATGATTTTAATTCAATATTTTAGTGGAATTTTGTGACAAAAAAGAAGGAAATGATAGTTTTGTATTTTAGTGGAATTTTGTGACAAAAATGAAAGAAATTATAGTTTATAGGCACGTGCTGGTAAAATGTTCGTACTTCCTATATTTATGCCAGACATAGCCAAACAATAACAATGTATTTTCCAGGTTGCTTCTAAATACTACCCAAACAATAACAATCCATTTACAGGTAATGTATTATGCCAGTAATATATTTCACAGATAATATATTTCCAGGTATCCAAACGACCCCTTAGATTTGGTATTCAAAAATAAAAAAAGTTTATATAAGGTTGCTGCTGTAAAATATAGAATTAAAGTGCACCTCA